CAAGGCTCACGAGGGGAGTAAGGGCAGAGGGCCAGGAAGGCAGTTCCTCCTTCCCCTTTTGGAAAGGGCAAAGGGTGAGAGAGGCGGTGTTTCCCTCTCCCCCCGGTCACTTTGGGCTCCTTGCCCACTCCTCCACCCCGCTTCCCAGCAGCGCTTTTCAGATCGGCTGGATTTTTCTTGTATGAACCTTTTGGGATCTCCATTTGGATTCTTCTCCCTACAAGTTTCCTTTAATTTCCAAGTACTGAATGAATCCCCATTCTCCCAAGGGAAACTAAGGCACTGCAAGGAGGGGGTCACCTGGTGGAGGAGGGAGCTGAGTCGAGATTAGGACCTCAATCCCTGCTCTTTTAGTAGACCGTGACACCTGCCCACTCTGACTTCCCCCTGGTAGGCACCCTTCCCCCCACCTTTCTTAGTTGGGCTGGCTTCAGGGTTCTTCCAAGACTGTCCAACAAGTATGTGCTAAAAACAGGATAATCGGGGCCCTGTTTTTGGAAGGGATATGCTGTGTAAGTATGTACCGGAGAGAGATAACATTAGCACCCAAGACAGGCTTCCCCACAGGGAGTGGGATAGGATCTGAGCCTTGAAGGCCGAGATGCAATGAAGTCGGTCAGTTTCAAGTCAGCCAGTTTAGTTAAAATGGACCTGAATAAACTTGAAAAGGAGGTCTGGCGCCGCACTCTGAAGCGCTTTAAAGTCCCAAGTTGGGGGCATCGCATTTTATCCGAGAGGCTCAGAGGGGAGTGACATGGTGAGATGCCTGCAGCAGGAAGATTATTTGGGCAGCTGTTTATAGAGAAGGGAGGAATGAGGAGGAACCTTTGGTTTGAGATCTAAGCATCTGCAGGCAAGGAGGAAAATGGCAGCCATCTAGGACAAGGATCTCTTTTCCTCCTGCTTGAATTCTGGGCCAGCCCCCTTGGGGCATTTCCAAGCTGGGGCTAGCCTTGCCACCCTGCATTCTGCCCTAAGGTCCTAGTGGACTTTACCTCTCAAGGTGAAAGGGAGAAGCTACTTCTCAGATGTCTCCCCTCCCCCTTCTTTCTGGCTATAATTCCAGAGCCCTTCTTGGGGCAGTGGAGAACACCAAGAGGTTCAACCTGAAGGATCCTTCTGTCTCTTGTCCTGCTCTGCCCAGGAGTCTTCTAGCCCTTGCTACTGAATGGGAAGGGAGTCAATCAGGATGGCCCAGCTAGACCAGGCTCCTGGAGGGCCCCGAACCCCCTGACAAATGGTCATCCAGTCTCTGGAGACCTCCAGTGAGGGGTTCCCACTAGCTCCAGAGGCAGCCCTGGCTGGCCTCATTATTGGGAAGCTTCTCCTGACTCGGACCTGGAATCAGCCTGAGGTCACTCCTGGAGACAGAAGCATAGCCAGGCCTGGATCTCCCACTCTGCATTCTTGGGCTCCCTCCTCTACCTTCCCCCAGCCACATCTAGACTCCTTGGTCAGGACATGTTTGCTGAGAGCCTTCCTGCTTAGAGATCACACCCTGCTAAGGACCTACAGGGAGCTATAGAGGGAGATGGAGCAGGATCCCTGACCTCTAGGGACTTACATTCTTTTTTTTTTTTTTGACTTTTTTTCTTTTTTTATTAATTTATTTTGATTTATCAATAATCACTTCCATATGCTTTTGAGTTTAAAATTTTTCTTCCCCTTCTTCCCCACCACCCTCCCCAATACGGCACACAATCTGATACAGGCTATACATTTACATTCATATTAAACATATTTTCACATTAGTGATGTTGTAAGTAAAAATCAAAACCAGTAGGAGGAACCATCAGAAAGAGGAAACAAAACTCAACAGAAGAGAAAAAAAAATAGCAATTCGACTTCCATAGTTCTTTCTTTGGATGTGGATAGCATTTTCCATCACAAGGCCTCTGGAGATGTCTTAGATCCTTGTATTGCCAGGAAGGGTAAAGTTTATCAATATTAGTCATCACACAACGTGGTTGTTATTGTGTTCAACATTCACTTCACTCAGCATCAGACCATACAAGTCTTTCCAGGTTTTTCTGAAGTCAGCCCATTCATCATTTCTTATAGCACAATAGTATTCCATCACATTCATATACCACAACTTGCTCAGCCATTCCCCAATTGATGGGCATCCTCTCAATTTCCAGTTCTTTGCCACCACAAAAAGAGCTGCTATGAATATTTTTGTGCATGTGGGTCCTTTTCCCGTTTGTGTGATCTCTGTGGGATATAGCCCTAGAAGTGCTATTGCTGGGTCAAAGGGTATGCACATTTTTATAGCCCTTTGGGCATAGTTACAAATTGCTCTCCAAAATGGTTGGATCGTTTCACAACTCCACCAACAATGCCTTAGTGTTCCAATTTTCCCACATCTTCTCCAACATTTATCATTTTCCTGTTTTGTCATGTTGGCCATTCTGATAGGTGTGATGTGGTACCTCAGAGTTGTTTTGATTTGCATTTCTCTAATCAATAGTGATTTAGAGCATTTTTTCATATGATTATAGATGGCTTTAATTTCTTCATCCGAGAACTGTCTGTTCATATCCTTTGACCATTTATCAGTTGGGGAATGGCTTGTATTGACTTAATTCTCTATATATTTTAGAAATGAGGCCCTTATCAGAGAGACTGGTTGTAAAAATTCTTTCCCAATTTTCTACCTTCCTTCTAATCTTAGTTGCATTGGCTTTGTTTGTGCAAAAACTTTTCAATTTAATGTAATCAAAATTATCTGTTTTGCTTTTCGTAATGTTCTCTACTCCTGTTTGGTTATGAATTCTTCTGTTCTCCATAGATCTGACAGGTAAACTATTCCTTGCTCTCCCAGTTTGCTTATAGTATCAGCCTTTATATCTAAATCATGTACCCATTTTGACTTTATTTTGGTATATGGTATGAGATTTTGGTCTATGCCTGGTTTCTGCCATAGTCTTTTCCAGTTTTCCCAGCAGTTTTTTTCAAAGAGTGGGTTCTTATCCCAGAAGCTGGGGTCTTTGGGTTTATCAAATACTAGATTACTATAGTCATTGACTACTGTGTCTTGCATGTTTTACCTATTCCACTGATCCACCGCTCTATTTCTTAGCCAGTACCAAGCAGTTTTGATGATTGCTGCTTTATAATACAATTTAAGATCTGGAATGGCGAGGCCACCTTCCTCTGCATTTCTTTGCATTAGTTCTCTTGATTTTCTGGACCTTTTGTTCTTCCAAATGTATCTTGTTATTATTTTTTCTACTCTATAAAATAATTTTTTGGTAGTTTGATTGGTATGGCACTGAATAAGTAAATTAGCTTAGGTAGAATTGTCATTTTTATTATATTAGGGACTTACATTCTAACCTGGGACACATATATTAACATGTGATGCATATACCTAAAAATATGGGACTTAGCCAAGGTATAGGTGCCAAGATAAGCACACATTTCATTTTATCCTAGCTACCAGGGGATGTCATACATCCCCCACATGGGCAGGCCCAGGCCCAGCCACCACCCAGGCAGTTGGACTCTCACAGAAGAACCTACTTCTCTTACCCTACAGACAAGAAAGGGAGAGTTTAACAAAGGGTAATGTTCTTCAATCATGTCTGACTCTTTGTGACCCCATTTGGGGTTTTCTTGGCAAAGATATTGGAGTGGTTTGCCATTTCCTTCTCCAGTTCGTTTTACAGATGAGGAAACTGAGGCAAACAAGGTTAAGTGACTTGCCCAGGTTCACACAGCTAGTAAGTGTCTGAGGCCATATTGGAACTGTCGAAGATGAGGTGTCCTGATTCCAAGCCCAGGGCTCTATCTACTGTGCCACAGATCTGTCCAAAGTCCTAGCCTTGACCCACCACCTACTGACTCCTTCCACCTCTCCCTACATTGGACTGTCCTGCCAACTCCCAGTGGACTTAGGGGTTGAGAGGAGCTAGAGGGCTGTAAGTTAAAGGGGCTGTGTGCTTTGGGGGGGCTTCCTGTTGGCCAGTTGAGGCTGTACCCCTCATCCTGTCTCTGTAGCTTTCTGCCTGGGTTACACTGGGCCTCAGATTCCTAATCAGTGAAATGAGGGCTGATGTCTGAGGGGCCTTCCGTCTCTCAATCTGTGACCCTCTTTTCTTTTCTTTTTTTTTATTCTCCTTAATAATATTTTATTTTTCCAATTACATATAAAGATAGTTTTCAACATTTACTTTTATAAGATTTTGAGTTCCAATTTTTTTTCTCCCTCCCCTCCCCAAGAGTACAAGCAATCTGATATAGGTTATACATGTACCATCATATTAAACGTATTTCCACATTTGTAAGACCCTCTTTTCCTTGTGGGGCCAGCGGCTCCCAAGGCCTCCAGGGGAAGCCACAAATAATCGGGACAAAACAAGGTCTGTCACCGAAGCCTCCCCTGCCTCTCAAATATGGAGGGTGTGCTCTCTGTCCCTGCCTCCTGCTGCCGTGGGAATATGTCCCCCACCTACCTTCCTTCTTTATCCTGCCCTTTTTACAGTATGTCTTTCCTGATGGTTTGTATGACACCCCTCAATCTAATTCAGCTATTGGTATACACAAAACTGAATGAGAAAGGAAGAAGAAATGGTAGACTCTGGCTGTGTAGGAGACTGCTGAGTCTGCTTAGAAGCAAATGTGTGTGTCCCTCTGACAAAGCGGTCAGAGCTTGGTTTCTGGGCCCCTCCTGACGTCAAGGTTTGTGGCTGCCGACGCTGCATTTGTCGGGGTGCGCTGTCCCTTGAGGTTCTGCTCACCCTGCAGTCCTTCTTAGAGCCTCCCCCTTTTCCTCAGGGTGCTTCGTTCCATCCCGCCCCATTCAGACCGGCACTTTTGGGAATGGATGTGAACAGCTCTCTCTCTCCTGTGTTGCAGGTAGTGATGGCGTCTTCCGTCGTCCTCCACACTGGGCAGAAGATGCCTCTCCTGGGGCTGGGTACCTGGAAGAGTGAGACTGGGCAGGTGAGGCGGGGGCTGGGGGAGGGGAGACAGCCAAGGAAGAGAAGTGGGGGAGGACTTGACCTCTGCCCTCATGAGGCTTATAGTTAGATGGTAAACAGTTAGCAAACCGTACAAGGCAGCTGCCTTTGAACCTTTGCTCAGATGTGGGGGCCTGCAAAAGCTTTGGGGATGCCAGTGAGTGGACCACAATAGCCCTTTGAGGGAGAAGGGTGGAAATCTCTCCACTCCACAGAAGAAGAAATGGGCTGATGGGGTCTTAGCCCTGGGGAGGGCTGTAGCTGGGACGTGAGCCCAGAGCTGCTGGGTCTGAGGCCAGTGAGTGCCTGTCTTGCACAGCAGATGTCCATGCCAGAAGCATGGTGTGGTTGATGCAGAGGGGACCTTGTCAGGGATAGAAGAGAGTAGTGCAGCGGTGTCCTGGCCTCTCCCTCCACCCCATAGCAACCAGACCTAGGAGGAAGGAAGGAGGTGACCATGACGAAGCTTCCTGGGGACCTCAGATCTCTGCTGGTGACCGTGCCAGGGCTGAGGTGGGCACAGGCCAGAGAGGCCTCGGTCCTTCTCCCCTCCCCCTGCAGTCAGCTTGCTGGAGACTGAGCGCCCAGGTGCCAAACCTGTTCTGTAATCCCAGGTTTCGGGAAGGGATGGGGGAGGGAGGAGGCAGGAAACAGGCACCTGCTCCGGGGTACGGTAGGAGGTAGGGAGAGCTGTTTACCTGACCCTTAGGGCTCACCTGTCACTTTTCAGCTTGGAATGTCCTGATGGGGTGTGTCTCTGTGTGTGTGTATGGGTGTATGGTGTATGTGGGGGTATATGTGAGTATGTGCACATGTGTGTGCGTGTGATTGTTAAGAACTTGGCATCCCTCCTCCCCTCTAAAACTCAGTGCCCAGCCCATGTGTGAGCTGTGGGGAGCCCTGAGACCAGGCCCCCTGTCAAGTCAGTGCAAGACGGTGGCTCCTGATCTTGCAGAAGAGGAGCCACTGACCCTGGTGATCAGTCTGATGCCCAGGAAATAGATAGGGAATGGGAGGGATGCCTTTGGAGGGGCCCTGGGATCGGGGTGCGGCTGGCACAGGGCAGAGGCAGTTGCCATTGGAAGGGATCGGGAAGATGGTAGAAAGGGGGTGGGAGGAGGGCTGAAGCCAAGCCTTGTGAGGAAAGGCGGCCTGGTCTAGTAGTGGTCACTTGCGGGCTTCCTGTCCCTTCTCTTGGCTGAGCCTCGGTTCTCTCATCTGTTAAATGGGGATGAATAATCCTCATTGTCATCTCCCTCACAGGGAGTTATGAAGCTCGAATGAGATCGTGTCCATGAAGGGCGCTGCCAATCATAAAGAGCCACGGACACATCAGTTATTAGCATAATGAAGACACAAAGGAGGGGGAGGGCCGGAGGGAGCTAGTCCTGGTGGGCAGAGGGACGGAGACAGAGCAGAGCCACTGCCCAGGGACACTGTGTATGTAGGAGCGGCTTTGTCAGATGTGAAACCAAATGCTGTGGGAGGAAGCCTGCCCGGCCCAGCCCAGGCTCTGCTGGTGAGCCAAGGGCTGGTCCAGAGTCGGTGCCCTGGGGCCTGAGGGGAATGAATCTGATGGGATTAATGGAGGTGAGAAAGCAAGCGGCCCCCTCCAATCCTCATGGTTCTCTCCTTCCTTTGTGGGGAGTGGGCAAGGGAGCCATCAGAACGCTTTCCGTTGTCTGAGCAGCTCACTGAAAATGTGGGGGTGCCTAGCATCCTGATCCCAGATTCCAGATGAGCAAACTGAGGCCCGGGGAGAGGTCCTTGCAAAGCAGCCCCGGGGGAAATCTGAGCAGACAGGTTCTCCCCAAGCTGAGGTGCCTGCCCCTTCCATCTTGTCTTTTCCCAATCCCGTTCTGGGCATTTCCCCCACCCTGACAGGTGAAGGCCGCTATCAAATACGCTCTGAGTGTTGGCTACCGCCACATCGACTGCGCCGCCATCTATGGAAACGAGGTGGAGATTGGTGAGGCCTTGAAGGAGAGTGTTGGGCCTGGCAAGGTACGTGAGGCCTGACCCGGGGGAGTGGGGAGGGCTCTCGTGGGGGAGGAGCCCGAGAAGCTGGGGCCCCCACCTCGTTGGTTACGCCCCCTTCCCCAGGCTGTTCCCCGGGAAGAAGTGTTCGTGACCTCCAAGCTATGGAACACCAAGCACCAGCCGGAGGACGTGGAGCCTGCCCTCAGGAAGACCCTGGCCGACCTCCAGCTGCAGTATCTGGACCTTTACCTGATGCACTGGCCCTTCGGCTTTGAGTGAGCATGGAAGGCGGGGCTGGGGTGGGGCTGGACAGTCTAAGGGGACACTGCCTTGGGAGGAGAGGCCCGGCTACCCAGGGCTGGACACGCTGCATCCAGTCGGCCTTCATGTCCCTTCATCGAGGGATGAGGAAGTGGTCCTGTGCTGTTCAGTTGTACAGTGGGAGGGTGGGTGAGGGGCAGAAGGGACCACGGGAGGCTGAGGTCATGGGGCTGTCATGTCTGCAGGCGGGGGGACAACGTCTTCCCTAAGAATGAAGATGGATCAATGCGCTATGACACCATCGACTACAAGGAGACTTGGAAGGCAATGGAGGCGTTGGTGTCCAAGGGGCTGGTGCGGGCCCTGGGCCTCTCCAACTTCAACAGCCGTCAGATTGACGACATTCTCAGTGTGGCCACCGTGCGGCCTGCCGTGCTCCAGGTGAGCCTGGGGGAGCTGCAGGGGCGTGGGGGTGCCCTGGGCTTTGGGGGTAGGGGCACCCCAGGATTTGGGAGCTGGAGGATACCTTGGAC